ATATATATATATATATATATATATATATATATATATATATATATATATATATTTATACACCAACGATTCGAAACGCGGACGCGCGTGTACGGAGAACCAATAATTACGTTTGCCTCCGGCTAGCAGTTTATTTACGGCGGCATTGTTTCGCGACAAGTCATGCCGAGTGCCAGCATCCTAAGCACTCGTGGACCACCGTATAATTAGGATAGGTAATTCTCGTGGTTACGGGAAAACATACTCCGGCTAGCTGATCGGCGCGTTTTCCCCATTGGAAATAAGCGCGGAAATTATTTCCGTGTGCCATGACAATGTCCCTCGAGTCCCCTCATTGGAAATTCAAATGAATTCGATAAAAAGATAAAACAAAAGTCTGCCGAAAGGTTACATATGAATTTAAATGTCGACAAGTCATTTAAATTTGTATGTTATTTTAATTGTTATCTTGATTGTTTAATAATCAATTATTTTTAATTAAGGTAACTCAGATTAAAAAAAAAAATCAGTATTCCGATGAGAGTTCCAAAAGTGTTTATTAAAAATTGTGATAAGCTCGGTTAATTCTGTTATCCACTATCAATTTTGCGATAATTAAATTTAAAAAAATATATCGTAAAATGCGATGTTTTTTTTTTTTGAAGGAAAAATCGATTCCGAGTTAAGAGATGTTCGTGGATTTTTGTGTAATATTTTATATATATTTTTGTGTAATATTTTATATATTATATAAAATATATAATATTATATATTTTTTTAGAAGCGTCGTATATCGGAGTATATCATATCGGCAATGTGTTTTGTACCGCAGCTAACCGGTTTCTATGAAGCGACTAGGATCCTCGGGAAACGCTGTGTTTCAGGGAAAGCTCACGACATGTACATATCGAATCAGGCTGGTACAAAGAGGGTAAATCGAATCAATCACGGGAGATACACGTGGTTATTTATAGCCGCCGATCGAATATTCCGAAGACAAGCTACCTGATGGACAGTCTTGAAAGATGCATGCGGGGAAGAAATAACCATTCGAAGAGATTCCAATTTATTCGAGTTAATTATTTGATACTGCGAAATAATCGGATCTATTGGCGCGTGGAGAGAGACCGTTCTTTTTTCTCTCTCTCGTCCGTCCTGATTGCCGTCGGCGATTAGAAATAAAAATAAAATAGCGACGTTTCTATCTCTCGCGATCAAATTGTCACTGAAAATATTTATCACGAACGACATGTTTCTGTATAAAAATTAAAGCAATTTTTAAGCACTATCTCTCTCTGTAAAGAGCGTACCTTTCGATAAAATTAAATTATTTTTCCTATCTTTCCTCCGACGGAAAAAGAGGTTCTGAAATACACGTGCATTTTCAGCGGGAATTTATTTTGCAGGTACATCATATTTGCTACTAGCTTTCAAATCGTCGACGAAAACTGAGTCGGAGAATTATTCCCCCGTTTCGCTGGGTGGTCGATAATCCGCCGTGCGTAACTTCGTAATTCGCGTCTGACATTTTTGCGTTGGGTGACTTCGACGCATATTTTCTCCGAGGAATTGCGCAGTCTAGCACAACAATCGGCTATCAGCATTGTTTGAACTAGCACGCGACAACAAACAGGTGCCCGAAAGCGCCGACGTAGGCGCCTGAACAAAGCCCCGACCGTAGAAAGGCCGAGGGAGGAGAAAGAGAGAGCGAAAGTGTTCGGCGATCGATCATTCATAACGCACTCTTGTGCATCATTGCGCGGTGACAGC